TTAGCATCAGATTCTCTTCCATTAACAGACAATGCATGCACATTTCCACTCTGGTTTACATCTGCAGCATCTGGCTGTGTTTCATTAAGAAAGAATACAGGCCTTCTCCCATTCTGCTTGTGGGTAACATTTGGCCTTCCACTGCCACGCCCCCTAGAGGCTCCTATATCAGTGGGAGTCCGTGTGGTGCGGTCTCTTTCATCTTGCGCTGGTTTAAACCAGCATTGTTTGGCGAGATGACCAGTTTTTGCACATATAAAACATTTAACATCTTTCTTTACATTTCTTCTTTGATAAGCAGGCTTCACTCTAAGAACCGACATGCTATCAGCGAGCTGGGAGATTTCCCTTTTATTCCCCTCAGCTTCCAAATAAGAAATTGCATAATCAATGGTTAATTTCTCTACTCCCTTCAAGAACGCAACTTCATGAGCATAGTCTTTTGTTAATGAGCCCAAAATTACAGCAATAACAGAATCATCAGTTGGTGGGCTTCCTATGGCCTTTAGATCATTGAAAGTATCCATAATTTTGTTCAAATGTGCAATCAGTGAGTCTCCAACTCTCATTTTTGCATTAAACAGACACTGATGGAGAAAGAGATTGCTAGCTCTCGATTTTCCATTGAATTTTTCATCTAGTTGGGTTATCATTTGTTTTGCAGATCTGCACGTTAAAAGCTTTTGATTGTCACTTGCAATAACACTCCCAAGGATTAAAGATTTTGCAAAACCATCTTTCTCTTTAAAATTTTCTTTTTGTGGATCATCTGCAGGACCATCATTAGTGAGTACATGCAGAGCAGATTGAGATTCTAGAGCACACTCAATTGATCCCTTTCACTAGTTGTAATTTGTTTTAGATAAAGGTGGAATGTTGAAGAAAGAAAGATTCTTTGAAACAGGCCATATTTTACTTTACCAATCCTTCCAACAGGCAAAGCGGCGAGCAGGCGTCTGGTCAGCGTGGAGTTAAGTGAGTTTCCTTTTATTACCTCCTTATTCCAGCAGCATGATGCAGCCCTTCGCGTAGAGCAGTAGAACACAAATCTTCTCTCCCCTTCTGTCCTGCCTGCATCAAGGCTAGAGAGCAGGCGTCTGGTCAGCGTGGAGTTAAGTGAGTTTCCTTTTATTACCTCCTTATTCCAGCAGCATGATGCAGCCCTTCGCGTAGAGCAGTAGAACACAAATCTTCTCTCCCCTTCTGTCCTGCCTGCATCAAGGCTAGACAAGCTCAAGAAAGAGGAAAAAACTTTTCTCTGCTTCCACTAATCCAGAAAATGTTTTTAAAAAATTGTCTGTGGTATTCTTAAAAGTTTCTAAGTAATCTCATACACACATGGTCAGCTCTGCGCAGATAGGAGCGCACTGGGCCCATAACCTTTGTTGGGATTCTTTTTAAGTAAGTCAGCAGAGTATTAAGAGACTGAGTCCATGGTGTGTATTAAAATATAAACGTTTACTATAAACCTAACATGGGAAAAAGGTACACAGGATATAAAATAACAAAGAGCTAATATGTCTACATCCTTGCAGCTAAAAGGTAAAACGAGAAGAGCTGAATGGCGTCTCCTTCTCAGTCAGAACAAAGAGAGGAAGGAGAAACCAATATGCTAAATACTTGACACCTTGGTTTCCAATCAGACTAGCAAATTAGCTCCAAAGCTCCCGGGCATTCTGTTGTCTTAACAGATTGGTTACAAACAAATATGTGACTTAACAAACATCATTAACCCTGTAAATACTGAAGTGTTTTGACTTGTAATACCCAACATATTGTTTACCTTGACTTCCAGAAAGCTTTTGATAAAGTTCCTCATCAAAGGCTCCTAAGTAAGCTCAAAAATCATGAAATTAAAAGACAAGTCCTTTTGTGGATCAAAAACTGGCTAATTAGTGGAAAACAGAGAGTGAGTATAAATGGGCAATTTTCTCAGTGGAGGGTGGTAAGCAGGGGGGTACCGCAGGGATCAGTAGTCAGTCCGATGCTTTTTTACTTGTTCATTAATGATTTGGAGTTGGGAGTAAGCACTGAAGTGGCTAGATCTGCGGATGATACGAAGTTGTTCAGGGTGGTGAAAACCAGTGAGGATTGTGAGGCAAATGGGGTTCAATGTGGCCAAGTGCAAGGTGATGCACATTGGAGCCAAAAATCCTAAATATAAATACACGTTGATGGGGTCTGAACTGACAGAGACTGATCAAGAGAGAGATCTTGGAGTCATAGTAGATAACTCACTGAAAATGTCGAGACAGTGTGTGACTGCAATAGAGAAGGCCAATGCTATGCTGGGGATTATTAGGAAGGGTATTGGAAAACAGATCAGCCAGTATCATAATGCCTCTATATAAATCAATGGTACGACCTCATTTGGAATACTGTGTGCAGTTCTGGTCACCACACCTTTATGAGTGAGGTTGATAAGATTATGCATGGTATAGAGCAGGTCGAGAAAGAGGTACTTTTCTCCCTTTCTCACAATACAAGAACTCGTGGGCACTCCATTAAATTGCTGAGCGGTCGGGTTAGAAAGGATAAAAGGAAGTCCTTCTTCACCCAAAGAGTGATTAACCCATGGAATTCACTGCCACAGGAAGTGGTGGTGGCTACAAGCATGGACAGCTTCAAAAGGGAATTAGATAAGCATATGGAGCAGAGGTCCATCCGTGGCTATTAGCCATAAGGTATAGATAGGGACTCTGGGGCAAGTGATTCTCTGTCTTCTTGGTGCTTGGGGGGGGTCAACAGTGTGGGGGGCTTCTAATGTCCTGGCCCCACTGGTGGACCTTCTCCTGATGGCACCTGGTATTTTTGGCCACTGTGTGACACAGAGTGTTGGACTGGATGGGCCATTTGCCTGTTCCAACATGGGCTTCTCTCATGTTCTTATGATTTTGAAGGGCGATTAGGCAGATTCCTGGAGGAGAGGTTTATCAGTGGGTGCTAGTCAAGGTGACCAGTGGAGGCCTCTAAATAACACTGTCAGGAGACCTCTGAATAACACTGGCCACAGTGCGAATAAGGGTGCTGCTGGCCTAGTTGGACTCCTGGCCTGAGCCATCGGGGTCTTCTTCTAAGTTCAGCCTTCCAGCTCAGCTCTTCCCATGGAAGATGCCGCTCTTCAGCCTCACCAGGTTGGCCTGCTGGTCTCGCTGTGGGTTTCCTCTGCAATCCTATATTTCTCCCTGCATTCTGTCTAGGACCAATCTCTTTCCTGGCAGCGTGGCTTCCTTATTACAGAGCACCAGGATATGCAGAGATTATTCAACAGCTGCCAGCCAGCTCCAGTAGCTGATGGAGAGCTTGTCAGATAACGGGGAGTCTGGATGGTGCTCTGGTGCAGTGGTCAGAGTGCTGGACTGGGATCTGGGGCCCCCAAGTTCAAATCCCTGCTCTGCCATGGAAACACCCTGGATGTGGCGCTCTCTGTGTCACTCACCTTGCCGGGCTGTTGCTGTGAGGTATGAATGGAGGAGGGGTGAAGAAGCCGCCAGGGGGTTCCGGTGGGGAGGGAAGCAAGGTGTGGACTTGAAACAAATGCGCTCCCCCCCCTGTAGCTGGGAAGCCGAATGGTGTCCTGGAGCCTCCCTGACAGCCCGTGCCTGTGCTGCCCAGAGGTGAAGGCGATGGCAGTGCTTCATCCCAATGAACTTGTCAGCAGGTCTGCTGAGATTCGGCAGGCTACACAGGGGCAGACCTGCTGCCCAGTAGATTCACAAGAGATGTTTTTGACCTCCAGCAAGCACCACCGAGGAGGCAAAGATTTCTCCTTTAGCCTGCGAAGGGCGGCCTGCACAGGGGGAACCACGCAGCACAGCTAGTTGTGCTCTCTCCCCCCCCAACATCTCCCACCAGCCGCATCAGTACGGGTCATTTCAATCAATCAATCACTCAATCAAGCCTCTGAGATGGGTTCTAAAACACTGGAATTAAACTAGCTGCATCCGTACAGCAGTCTTTCCCTTCGGTTCAAAGGAAAACGTTGCGGGGTGTAGCTCTCCCACTGCGGCTGGGCATCTATTGACAGGTATTCTACCCCTCCCCCCCCCGGGTTTGTGGCGCGTTGATTAGCCCCTCCTCTCCATTCCCCCCCCCCCAGGGAGTCCTGCACCAGGGGGTGGGTTTGGGGGGACTCCAAAGGAGTGTGCCGCGGGGGGGGGGATGCTCCCTGCCCTGCCCACACCCCCTTCTTGCCCCTGGTCTGACTGCTGGACTCCCCCAAAGCAGCCTCTCCAGGATACCGTGTGAATCGACCGCTGGGGCGGTGCTGCGTGGGGCCCCACCCCTCCAACTCGCCCTGCTTTGTGTGAAGTCCAGCTCCCCTCCCATTTCCCAGGTGAGGGTGGGGAGGGTGGACTGGGATGAAGGACAGTGGGGGAGTGGATGGTGGGTGAGGAAGCTCCGCGCGAGCGGCTGCTGCTGTGCCAGGACCATAGCCGCCATGGTGGGGCTTCTGGGGGCTCCACCCCTTTCCTCAAAGGCACGGCCCCACAAGAATTTCTCCTGTAAATGCTTTTTGCAATCATTTAAAAACATTTTAAAAAGGAGTGCACTCCTTAAGAAGAAGAAGAAGAGGAGATTGGATTTATACCTGGCATGTGCCAACACAGTCTTCAATACTTTCTACGGCCTCATTGTCATCCTCCTCACCTTGGGCTCTGACCTCCTCTTCATCTTCATCTCCTACAGCCTGATCCTGAAGGCAGTCCTGGGCATGACCTCTGGGGATGAAGGCCACCGCAAGGCCCTGGGCACCTGCGTCTCCCACCTCTGTGCCGTCCTGGTCTTCTACGTGCCAGTGCTCGGGCTCTCTGTTGTGCACCGGTTTGGCCGGCACGCCTCTCCCCTTCTCCACGTCGTCATGGGCAACATCTACATCCTCCTCCCACCCCTGATGAACCCCATCATCTACAGCATCAAAACCAAGCAGATCTACAGCAGGATCCTCAGAATGGTCTCACTCAAGAGAGTCTGAGGAACCGAGATAAGGCTGAGGGTGCCACTGTCTCTGCTCGTTGCAGGACTGGGTCCTGTGCAAAATATTAAAAAGTTGTATTCTCCACCTTTTGATAAATCAGAATGTCAATTGCATTGGCATACCTTCGTTGTATTCTTTTATTCTGATACGCCTGGTCTTACTTTCCCCCCCCCCCCCCCCCCCCCCCGCCAGCTTGTTCTCAGCACTGTTGCTTTGGCTGGCAGAAGGGATTCCCTTGCAGCGGCTGAGCACCGTCCTGTAAAGTGGCTGACAGCTTTCAGTGGAGAGCTCGGCCCTGGTCATAGCTCTCTACTGGCTCAAGGGCTTTCCTTTCCGCATGGAGAACTTCAGCCCCACCAGAAACAAAAGTCTGCCCCGCAGGCCTCCCAAAGTCCTGGCTAAGGGGCCTAGAGGTGACCCCGGGGGGCGGGGGTGCTGGCGGCTGCCCAGGGCAAGAGCCTCTGGCGGCCCCTTCCCCGCAGGACGGAGGGGAGGTTGGGTGGGGCCGCCAGGTGAGAGAGGAGGAGTCCCGACCAAGGCTCCCTCTCTATGCAGCGGAGAGTCTTGTGAGGAAAGATCCTCCTCTGTGAGCTCCTGGAGCATTAAAAGTTGTCAGCGAGTGATTCGGCTGCTGCAGAAATCAGTTTGCTCTGGCGCCTTCCTTCCTGAGCTAAGAGCACTGTGGTCTGGGGCCCAACAACGTCTATCTATCCCGGGCCCCAAGGAGGCGAGACTTGCCGTTACCAGGGCCAGGGCCTTTTCGGTAGCAGCTCCACACTGGTGGAACCAGCTCCCGGACAGATCAGGGACCTGCAAGACGGAGCTCTTCCGCCAGGCTTTCCAGTAGGAGCCGCCACCACAGTTACCATCAGTCCGGAATACCAGACTGGCCCGGTCTGAGCCTCACCCCCGAACATTGTGGGACTGATTTTAAGACCCGAAGACAGAAGGAATGCAGACATAAAGCCATTCATCTTATGTTTACTCTGCTGTAGCCAGCACTTTATTGTTAATATTGTTCTTAAGGGATTTTAATATTTTTATTGTTTTATTTGTATCGGCCTGCTGTCGGCCGTCTTCTGTCAGCCGCCCAGAGCCTGTTTACAGGGTGGGCGGGGTATAAATGTAAATATGAATTAAATAAATAAACACAAAATGTGTGAGCCGGAGGCTAAAGAACTGTGAGCTAGCTCAGACTAAGTCAGCTTAGAGGGAACCCTGGTCCCGAGGGGGGGGGGAGGGGGC